TGCTTTCGAGTTGCATTGATTTCCGATCGGATACTGTGACTTTCTCGCATGCTTCCGACCAGTTCCGATTAAATTCGCTTATTTCCGGAGGTCTCAGTAATTGCCTTGGGATTAGTTACTAAGACAAAAAGATAGTCACGCTAAAAGATAAAAATATTCAATAATAAGGAAGAAAATTTTTTTTTAATATTTACTCTCAAGAAATGATGTCGACCTTCTTCGGGAGTGTCCAAAATGCAGAGATAACATAATGATTTAATGAATTTATATTTGTTTGTAAAAACTTAAGATTACTAATCAGTCATATACAAATATATTGCATGTTTGTATACAAAAACAACCGTTGTATAAACTCAATGATTGATACTTTAATATGAAAAGATTTAAGAAGATTTCAGATGACAATCCATTAATTTAACTTTAGAAATAAACTAAAACAATTCTATTTCCATCTAACTAAACCGAATCTTAAAAGTATTCTCATTTTGTAATCTTCTGCTCATACTAAGAAAGGAACAACACATTGTTCGTTAAATTACATAGATAGTTCAATGCTATCTCGATTGATGACATCTTATAATTAAGACCGATAAGAATACCAAACTAATATAAGATAGAAGCAAAAGATATATATAAACTAGATCGTTAGCTGGCTGACATTTACTAACCTCTCTTTCTCTCATTTACACAATATAGAAAGTTAAAAAAGGGGCGTAAACTGCAAACTGATATATAGCGGATGATTCATAACAAATAGTCCACTTTTATTTTGAACTTTTGAGAGATTTACAACAATGATTTCAAAATTTTCATTCTAATCTCACTAGATAATTGATTTAATCCTACACAAAACTGTCGATCTTGTCTTTCATAAGGGATTTTTTTTTTGTGTCAATATTATATGGACGTAATTAACACGTACTCAATCGTATCGATACGAAAGCCAAAAAGAAAAATAAGAAAGTCATAGAAATTTTTTAAGAAACGGATCAACTGAATTATGTAAAAATATTCTATAGAAAATTATTCATATTTCAATGTAATTTTTAGAATTTGCGAACAAATATTTGAGAATGAAAATATCGAAACAACACGATGCTACATTCGTCAACGCATAGAGCAAACAATTGTTTAAATGTATCAAATAGAGAAAAAAAAAGTAGATCATTTAAAATGAAATAACCATTCCTAGTAATGCTGCTTTTTTTTGACGAGATATATTTTCATATTACCTGTCAATGTAATACTACCAGTCGTAAAAACTTTGAGAACAACTTTATTGTTTAATCTGACTGTAGCACCCGGATGAATTTCGGGTTCATAACTAAATAAATTCAACATAATAAAATAAAAACAAATATTTTCACTTCTTTTTTTTACCTGACACATTCTGGATATATTCGACTTAATTTAATAATATCAATTGGCCATGGCATTGAACATGTTGCAAGACAATTGACAATACGATAATTTCGAAATTTGATTTTGAATCCAAGCCGTTGTAAACATCGAGCAATACGTCGTGCTGCACGTTGTGCATCATCCTCACTGGAATACGTAGCAGTATACACTTTATATGTGATACAACTACTTTTAAATTTTTCTTATACACACACCTCGTTGTTCCTGTTACTATCACTTTGCCCGATGACCAGACGTTGGCTGAACAATATGGATTTCGCATCTTCATCAATACCATCTATATGAGAGGAGATAAAAAAAACAATCCTTATTTTTAGATTTATGTATTTTACCGCATGATCACGTTTATAAATAACATTTGCAGCTTCCATAGCAATTTTACGTAGATTCAATTTACAACCAAGTGCAAATGAACATACAACATTATTTACAAATAATTCTATTTCAGAATCATGTTGATTACGATCGATATCTATATCATTACCTAATAAAGAAGTCTAAAAAAAAACAGACAAAGTTTTATTGTATTTTTTTTTTATTTGATAAAAATAATTCTTAAAAATTTCTTCATTTTTTTCCACCTGCTCTTCTAAATTTTCACTAGGTATTTGTTGTCGTTGAATTGTTGATGTTGTTAATCGTCCAAGAAAAGATGTATCAACACATGTATCTGATGATAAACTATTATTTGAAGATGATATTATTGGATTTTGTCCACTTATTGTTGTATTACTATTATTAAGTATTGTAAATGATGGTGTTATATGACGTACTGTTTGTGTAGATTGACGAATAATATTAGTCGTTGTTGGTGATGATTGTGTTGCTATATAAAATGTTGAAGAATTTCCATTTAATATTGAAACAACTGATGGTGTTGGTGTTGTTAAACACCATGAAGGATTTGTTGAAGAAGAAGATGGTACAAGTGTATGATGATTAGTTGATGTATTCATTATTTGAAAACTAGGACGAACGACAGCAGCATTTGGAACCGCAGAAGAAGTTACATTTGTTGTTTGAAACATGATTTTTTTATCTGACACAAATTTTAAATTAATTTTTTAAAAATATTGACAGTACATATGTTGTTCTTTTTTTTCTGAGCACACCGTCTGCTGTCTCGCAGCTGATCATTTCGATCGTTGTTTTATATTCTATGGTTACCATGAGACAATTATATGTGCCTCTATATATGTTCATGTTTTATTCGTCCATAGTTTATTGATATTATTATTCCAAAGTTTTATTCAGAAATTTTTTTTTATATTAAAAAAAACAATATAGAGTGTTTCTAAAGTTTTGAATTAATTTTAGAATCTATCCCCTTTGTACATATAACAAAAATTTCTTTAGTCTGAATCTTTAAGTCGTTCTGAAGATGCAAGATGTTTTTTTTTATCGATTATTTGTATTTTATGACTAGCACACCCTACATATTTCTTAAGCAAGCTTGACGATAATCTTATAATATAAACAAGTGATCTATTAGATCACTTCTGAACCGACAGGCTTTAATTGAGAAGTAATAGAAACGGTCACACATATATTACGAATCGCAGTGGCCTATGTGTTGAAACCAGGATGTTATAAAACTTCTTTTATTATTTTTGTACAGAATAAACTCTGTATATAATTGGAGATAGTAATAACAAATTTGTAATATTGGCTTCTCTAACAATTATTCAAGCTACACTTATTCCTTCAACGCTAGTTCTTAAAAATTTATTAATAACAAAATAACATATAGTATATTTAATATAATTGTAGACATTATTTTTACTCTTCTGCTTTGTATCGGTTTAAATTAAATTTTTTAAAACTATCGTGAAATTCTGTTGAAATTTATCTATTTTGTTCAATAAATGCTATCACTTTTATTTCTGAAACTCAGAGATTGTTTTAGTAAACTATTGAGTACAATACTCAATATTTTCATATATTCAATGGGAAAAGAGCGAGACTTGAGTAGTCTGAAGTACGAGCCTTTATTGGTACTTCACTGCACTTCACTCTTTCTTCAAAGTACTGAACTCTTGCTTTTTTCTCCCTTGTAAATACCTCTCTGAATATTATATAAACGTAAATCTTGTCAAGTTTTCCATGAGTACATCTTAGTTCGTAGAACTTGATTTTATTAATGATAACGTGCTTTAAACCATGAATTAAGAATTGTATCAGAACAGAACTTAAATCTTAACGAAGTGTGTAGAACTGAAATTAACTGGATGGTATCTCGGCAAAGTCGACTATGCGAAATAAGGTGCGAAGCATCATTATCGATTATCCAAAGTAATCGAAATCCTGGAAAAATGAATAATCGCCTCTACGGTTTGTCATAAAACGATTTTCGTCGAAAGATATTCATGTTTTATTGGAATGAGACTTTCTTTGTCTCAGTAATTTGGAAAAAAAAGTATCTATTTCAATCGATCAGTTCACCGAAGTCAAACCGAAAATGAAAAGCAGATATGCCAAAATTCATCATTATGAGAACTCTGTGAAAGCCTATCACCTTGTTTCTAACGAACAATATCGGTTGATTCTTTGATTATGTAGATGATTCATTATCGACCATCACCTGTATTAACAGCTGTGATACATATAATTAGAGCGAGTGGCGGCTAACTTTTCTTGCTCTCTTTATTTTGATTAGCTCATGTTTTGAAAATAAAGGGTGTGAGTATCTGGGTGAGAGTGTGGTTGAAAAGAATCACACCCATCTCCCACCCATACATCCTCATTCACCCTCAACTCATACATCTATACCCGCACACCCACCCCACATTCACACCCTCAGGATTAAAAATTTAAAAAGGATAAACCTTTCAGGCCTTTCCTCAAGAAAAATATCCATTATATTATAATTTCAGCCTGCAGGATGGTTCACACCGACATTTTGAATGATGGTATTTCGACTTGAAATTTTACCCACATATAGATCTTCATGTAACTAAGAATTTTTCCTTCATGAGATATTAAGCTTTCAAAAAGCGTGAGATTCTCGCATCTTTCATGAGATATCAGTAATGTTTAGAAATTCGATATCTCGTGCAGAAAACATTTTTTTTTGAGCTGAAATTCTTACGACACTTTAGTTATAATTAGGCCTACTTGCGAGCAAAATTTCAAGTCTACATACTACTATTCAATATCTTGGTGTACTACATGCTAGAGGCTAAAATTTCAGTAAAGGACATGGCTGTGGGTGTGATTTCAGGTGAAAAGAGCACCGCCCACACTCACACCCATTACTTATCGTTTCCTGATTAATTATTACTATGATAATAAAGTATAAACCTAGTTTTTTATGCTAAGTTGTTTTTGTATAAATAATTCTAACTCAAACTAATTTTTGAAGATCATCATTTTTTGTATTATATTTAGCTAAGACTAATAAGCTACAAACAATGGATGTAGCAGTGTGTAACTCGATTAAACACTCAACTTCTTATTACTAATAAAAATCGTGCAGTAAATTCCACCATGTAACTATATCATGCACCAAATTTATTAGGCAAAATTTCTCCTGTTGTTTAAAAAAGTACACTTTCATTTTCAAAATAAGTCAATGATGATTATTTTAAATCGTTTTGAAGAAGCATCTTATAATAAACTCCACGTTGTTGTATCAATTCTGTATCAGTACCACTTTCCAATATATGTCCTCTATCAAGTACACAAATCAAATCACATGAACGAATAGTCGATAGACGATGAGCAACAATGAGTGATGTTCGACTTGGATCCTCTATTTGGGCTTGTTCAAGAGCTTCTTGTGCAATCTATCATTAAGAAATCAAGATGAAGCTGTCATCGACAAATAAAAAAATCTTACTTGTTCATTGTATGAATCCATGGCACTCGTAGCTTCATCTAAGAGCAATACTTTAGGTCGACGAAGAAGAACACGAGCAATAGCAATACGCTGCTTCTCGCCACCTGACAGAAAACTACCTTTCAACCCTACTTTTGTTTCATAACCCTAACAAAATATATCATACTATAATAATAAATACTTCATATAATTTTGTATTGTTTAACCTGAGGTAATTGTTCAATAAATTGATGAATATTAGCTTTCCTTGCTGCATTGATAATGTCTTCCATTGAAACATTTTCTAATCCATATGCAATATTTTCAGCAATTGTTAAATCGAACAAAATTGGTTCTTGACTGACAAGACCGAAATGAGAACGAACCCATTGAAGGTTTAATTGTCGAATATCAATGCCATCAAGAAACTAGATTAAGTGGAAATTTTTTATATGATGATTTAAACTATACTTTGAAGAAATATTAACTAGTTGACCACTTGTAACATCATAGAATCGTTCCAACAGTTGAATAATTGTTGATTTTCCACAACCAGATGCTCCTGTACAGGTTATATTACATAATTAACATTTAAGAGAAAAAATTTTTTGAAACATACCAACAAGAGCGACACATTGACCTTATCAGTGAACAAAAATATTCTTTAAAAATGATGAAATCAAAACTTATCTCACTTACTTGGTTTGATATTCAATTGAAATTTATTAAGAATAATAGATGTTGGTCGACTTGGATAGATAAATTTGACTTGATCAAATTTTATCTCACCACGAAAATCAACCTGTACAAATCATATTATATCCATAGTATATCCATGATTAAAAGAAAATAGTTATCTTCCAAGTTCTCTTACCAATTATTGTCCTTCAGTAGATGTATTGTCGATAGTTGGTATTCGATCAAATAAATCAAAAAATGCTTCAGCACCCGAAACTGATAAAGCGATACGATTAGATCTACGACAGAGATAGTCGAAGAAAAAAGAAAAGTAGAGATTGCAAATGTTACAGCATCCCGATGATTCTTAGTACTTCGGTCAAAAAGACAGTAAAAGCAACGACCCTAATAAATTCAAAAGATAACAAAACATTGTCTCTTCATTATCAAACTGTGGCTTTAATTACATTAAGATATGATTCAACAGGAGTTCGTTCTTTTCAAAGAGGACCAGAGCACACCAATACAAAAATGCCATAGTGTGTACATCTAGCGTCCAGTATATGCCATATGCGATTGAATTTAGTATCATAGGTTTCCAAGACAACCTATGACGAAACAAGATTGATTAAAAATTCATACATACGTAATGTTCAAATGACCAACATAAATACTTGATGGATGAATTCAGAATATTGTCGTAAAATTTCATTTTCTACAGATAGCTGTTTTATTGTACGCATATTGTGAATAACTTCAACAGCAAACTGCGTAAATAAAAGACAGAATTAATATGGTATTTAGGGCATATCAAAAGTACTGAAATTTACTGGTAATCTTCTACAGAGAGAAGATAACCAAGCTTTTATTCCAGTCATTATTGGGGCTCGTACTTGTGCTAACCTATGCACAATCGATTTGTTTCAAGATATTTATATAAAGCTTTTTTCAAATAATTTTTCATTAAAAAAAATCATCATCTTGATTACAGCATTCAACACCATGATTAAGGGTTCTTTAATTGACTAAGCTTATCAATCAAATCGAATACCAGACAAGTACGTAGTACTAAACCCATATAATAAGGAGAATTAAGTATAATTGTGATATGTAGTAATGCGAGATAGTAAAAACATCTTTATCTAATACATAGTCGAGCTTCACCATTATGATTTTTTTATGTCCTGAGTAGTATCTGATGAGTTTTACCCTCGTATTCCACGGCGAGAAATTTTAAGGGATTATTGATGGAAGATCGAAGATTAGACGTCTATCCTCTTCTCATATTGATATCTTTTTCTGGAATCCTAAACTAGCTGTTCGAAGACAACCCAGAAAGCATCATTTTCAGTTCTGCTTATTGAGCGCAAATAAAATTGGTACAGATTCTTTGCCTGTAATTCTTCTATCTCGAAAACTGTGGACCTATCTATGTGTTACAGAGTTATAGTTTATCATCCACTACCACTCCATAGAATTGCTGTAGTTCTTTAACCGGTCATGTCCATCAAAATTTGATTGACCAAAATAGTTCCGAGTCGCTAAATTGGGTGCTGTAATCAAGATGATGATTTTTTTAATGAAAAATTATTTGAAAAAAGCTTTATATAAATATCTTGAAACAAATCGATTGTGCGCAGGTTAGCACAAGTATCAGCCCCAATAATGACTGAAATAAAAGCTTGGTTATCTTCTCTCCGTAGAGGATTACCAGCAAATCTCAGTACTTTTGTTATGTCCTAAGTGTATTCGATTTATCAAATCATTCACGATATTTCAGTTTTTCCTACATAAAAAGATTATTAGATAAAATTTGACTTTACCGTGCTTGCTCGGTCGACAATTTCATTGGATTTTTGAGTCACCCATAGGCGTACTCGCACATCGCCATAGATGACTATGGATAGGATAGAAAGAGGGCCAAAAACGACCAATGTTAATTGCCAACTTATGAGACATCCAAGTGAAATTCCAAAAAACATCAGTGCAAGAGTCTCACAAATGACTCCTAATCGAGTACCAGTCATGTCTTGAACAGCTGATGCATCGGAAGAAAGTCGAGTACAAATCGCACCAGAACTGTTCTCAGATCGATCGAAATAAGCCACTTCTTGATGAAGAAGACATGCAAAAGCTTTCGAACGAATACGTTCTGTCAATTTCGATCCTGATATGGCAAAAGCTGTATACTATAAAAAAGAGTGAATAACTTCATTGATCAAATTCAGAAGTAGTATTTTTACTTGAAAGAAACGAAAAATCAATAAAAGACAACCCAAAAGTAAAAAAAAGAAAACTGGTACTCAACACTTGATGATTTCGCTCAGAGATTGAGGAATATTTGAATGCCTACATAATAAATAAATCGACATAAAATGATGTATATTGTCAATCTTTTTGCACGATAAATATGGGTTGCATACTCACACCGACTATTTTATCAAGTAAAAGTCCGAACATTGGTTGAGCTGCTCCACTAAGTACGCATGCTATACAACCAATCAAGATGGTGATCCATTCAGGACTATTCATTGACAAGAGTCTTAAAAAAATGAATCTTTTTCTCAATGGTTTTGAACTTTGCTGAAAGAAAGATTCATAAAAATGGTTTTTATCAGTAATTGCAATAGTATTCGTACTTTGTTCACATCAACAGTTTGACTATCGCTAATTAAACGAGTACGTCCAACTATCCAAGAAAAAAGACCAAGAAAAGTGAAGACTACCACTATTAGAATATTAACATACGTATCGACTTTTCTTCTTCTTCTGTTGCTTTTTGCATGCTCATCATATCATCATTATCATCATTGGTCCTTACAATTTGTTGACGTTTGACCATTGCTTGATATTTGCCTCCTTCTTTTGCCATCAATGTTTCATGTGTACCTTGCTCAATCACAGTTCCATTATCTAATACATATATTTGATGAGCATTTTGAATTGTAGTCAAACGATGAGCAATTACAATAGTTGTACGATCTATACTAAATGTTATATCCATAACATTAGCAAGAAAACAATCTTTACCTTTGCATGCTCGATCGAGCGCTTCTTGAACAATTTTTTCGTTTACATTATCAAGTGCACTTGTTGCTTCATCCAGTAAAAGAAAAGTAGGCTGTTTGACAAGAGCACGAGCTAATGCAATACGTTGTTTTTCACCACCACTCAACTGTATACCACACTCACCAATAAGTGTTTCATATTTCTAAACAAGAAATAAGGATACATATATGCAGATAAAGATGTAAGATTTGGCACAAACATCCGGTAATTGCATGATAAAATTATGTGCATTTGCTTCTCGTGCTGCTTGTTCGATTTCTTCTCGTGTTGCATTTACTTTACCAAGACGAATATTTTCATAAATACTCATAGCAAACAGAATCTATTGCGATAGTAAACTTAATAGAAAGAGAGAAAAGAAAAACGAAAAAGAAAATATACGGGTTCTTGATTAACAACTCCAATATTTTGCCGAAGTTGTTTGATATTGTAATCTGTTATCGATCGACCACTGATCGTTATTTGACCAGAAGAAGGTTTATAGTAACGAAGAAGCAGTGATATACATGTACTTTTTCCTATGAATAAATGATGAATACAACTGACATCTCTTTAACATTTTTGTTTTTGAAAAGACTTACCACAGCCACTTGAACCTACGAGAGCAGTTGTCTGACCAGTACGAGCAATAAGAGAGAGACCACGCAGAACTGGTGCATCTTTACGAGATGGATATACAAAGTTGACATTGTCAAATTCCACATCACCATTTGTATCACATATCGATACTGTATCCTCGTTCCATACTTCTTTTTCATTGATATTTGCGTCATTTCCCTGCATAATATAAACAAATTGAGAATATTGCTATCGACATAAGACCTGAATTTATTTGGATTTACCTCGTCAATAAGTCGAAACACCGCAGCTGCTGCACCTCGAGCTTCTGAAAATGATTGAAAGAAAGGAACAACAAAACTGAAGAAATCAACAAATTTTCCAAAAATGGAGACGACCTGTGTTAAGATAGTAGTCGAATATTTATTTCCTTATTGACTGATGACATAAATTACTCACGACAAGAATATTACTAATGTTCATACTAAGATGAGCTTTGCTTGACATAAAAAAAGAACCAAAGAAGAAACCAACTGCATAAACTAGATAGGTCATTAGAGATAGCCATCCAGTAAAAAGCCCAAACACTGCACCTTGACATATACTACTCCAACGAGCTGAATGTAACTGTCTTTCATATCTAAATTCAATAAAAATAATAATATTTTTTATCATAATGTGTAAGTAAACTAGTTTTATATATTCTTTTACCGTTTTTGTTCATAGTTACTACCATTGAAAGAAAGAACAGTTCGAAGTGAACTAAACACTTCTTGAACAATTTGTTCCGCTTTCGCGTATGCTCTTAACTCATTCATTGTTTCATTCGAGGTGAGCTATAACGATTCATACAGATTTAAGTTGTTGAACAATACTTCATACCTTAGAAAATAGAAATAAACTACCAATGACCAAAGTTAACAAGCATAACATGATCAAAGTTAATTGCCAGTAGACAATGAAACATACTATTAAATAACCAATGATGGAGAATAACGTTGCAATCACTAGTAAGAGTTCAGAACCAATGCCGTTCTCGATCTTTGAAATGTTACTTTACAAGAATTGACTCACATGAAATCATTTGATATAAAGCATGTCGATAGCTTACTTAAATAGTTTAGCATTGATTTGAATAGTCGATTTGGTATCCATATAAGAAATGTTCTAAAAACAGAGATAGAGAGAGAAAAATAGTCAGAGTTGGACGAATTCGACTCTATCTATATTCTCTAATTTCCAATTTATCTGCAATATTACAGTTTTTGAAAATTTTATTGCAAATCTGGTTGTAAAAAGTCACGTTCTACAATATTTTAGTTTAAATGGTTGAATTCTTTTACATTTGCCTCTGCAATCGGTGCTTTTACTCTTACCTTTTTTTATTTTAACTTGACAACTTACCAAGTCAACAGATGTTTAATCTTTATTGAGAAAAATTCATCACCTCTATATCCATTCCAACTATGATTTAAGGCGACGGCAATTTCATCCCTACTACACTCATCACATACCAAATTCTATTGTACAAAAGATCTCATAAAGCAACCTTTCGTCATGTCTCCCTTTGATTACAATGGTTTTCTGCTTATCGATACTAGATGGTATTCTAGTGAAAACTCTAACAGTGCTTACTGATATTTGACGAGCTACGGATACTTTAAAGGTTTTTTTTTGCCAGAGGCCTTCATAGAACCGCAAATTTTGTGAAAATTCGTGTTTTTGAAATTTATCGTGGAAATATCTCTATTCAAATATCTCATATAAACTAGCATGCATGAAGAATTTGAGAGCTTGCAGATTTCGTATGTCCACGATATTAGCTTTTTAAGAATAGATGCTTTTTAAACCTTATCTAAAAAATACAAGAATATGTTGATAAGCTCGTATCTCAGAGATCCAAAATCTATAAATTCTGAAACTCTTCATACGAGCTACTGTATATGAGATCTTCAAATGAAGATAGTTTCAAGATGAAATTCAAAAGCACGATTTTTCTGACAATTTGAGATTCCAGAAGGTTCTCTGGTAAATAAACGCTTTAAAATATCAGTAACTTGTCAAGTCTCAATAGGGAATGGAATTCTTTAGAGTTTTAGCTTGGATACTATGTAGTATATATGGGCAAAAAATTATTGAAACCAGAAGACAACATCTATAAGGGTTTCCTTATAAGTTGATGCAATTCTACTGCAACTTGCGTTGATAAAAGTGTGAACTCCACAGTTAAATCCATTTCGAGTTGAAGTGGCGCATCTTTGGAACGAGTTAGGCCTTTCAATACACGCTAAACTAAGATATATGCCAAATGATAGAAATAACTACATGAGTCCATCACTTTTGCTTTTACTGTTCTTTTAGAGCTACAATATACAAACTTCTGTTTTCCAGAAATATGTCTAGTTTTACTATTTTGAAAAGTGTATCAATAGTGAAGATGCCTATCTTCGTAACTGTAAAGTCATTATCAACTGGAATTGAAAGTTGTTCAAAAAGTAATAAATGATCGTTATCGTTCTAATTATAAACCTTCGAAACAATTATAGTTCTATCAGCCTCCAAGAAAGTATGTAGTATGCCAATGACAGCGAGGTTGAGAATACATCTGTAATGTGATCGTAAATCCTTAGTTTTAGATCTAGAATTTCCTGACATCTGGGTATCCCTAGATATATATATAATTTTTTTCGAAATATTTTAGTCTTTTTCGTGGGTTAGTTAGAATCGTGAATTTCTTAAAGAGAACGAACATAAGATTCTATACGCTTTTGGAAGCGCTAAGAAAAGACTGGAATTCCTTTTTGGAGAAAATTTTTTGTAAATGGAAGATTATTAACTTACACGCTGAATAAGTGATCGAAAGAGGGAAGTATTCATACGGCATATCTGCCGTTTCACAGTAACATTCCACAGGAAATTTCCAATCGAGCAAGACAGACATTGGACAATGCCGATAACTTAAGTTGATAAAGAAAAAAAGACCATTTTCATTATTTTTTCTAATCAAACTATTACGTTCATTTCACTTACTGAATAACCAGTAAACGAGAGTCATAACGTCTTCTCTAAATAAAGGTATTGATGTAGTTAAAGTTAATGACAAATTTACATCACTACTATGACATAGTCTAAAGTGGAAAAAAATACCAAAGGAAAATAATTAAAAGAAATACATAGTAGCTAATAATAGGTTTTAGTGAACTACTTAAGCAAAGAATCATTGTTGACTGTATTGATCACGATTTCTTGAGGATATGTATTGTTATTCTTAGTTAGAGCTGTTGACATTTTGTGTTGATGATCACAATTATCACCAAAAGATTTAAAAGCGAATATTCCTGTGAGTCGACCGAAGACAACTTGATGAGCTACAATGCAAACCGTCTCTGGCACTAGCAAACACAGAGCAGTTAGCATTAGAACACAATCAACACTATTTGCAAACCGAAACTACAATAAAATCAAATACATCAATCAGTTTGTATTTCGTCTAAATACACTCACTAAACGAAAAACACCTATAGCTGCATCTTTGTCACCGTTTTCGGTATCGTCGTCTAGTGTAATATATTTATCGCTCTTTTTCTTACTGAAGGATCGACGCCAATCAGAAAAACTATGAAAAATGATAAATTAATTATATTTTTCTCAAAGTTATTTATTTAATAGGTCGTACCTATTGATCGAAAATTGTTTCTTGTTTCCATTATTATTATCGTCACTGATAGAGAATTTATTGGATGCATTTAACAGAGATTGTCTATCACTCATTTGACGTTTGTTTCAAATATTCTGTCATGAAAAATATTGACGATAAGTATATACGAATGTTAATCTAAAAAGTGATTTGTAACGCTTGATTTGACTCCTTATGGGTTACATTCTTCTTTTATCTGTTTTTTAATTACACGAATAGTCAAGTGTAATCAAGCAAGCATCAAATGCATTAGACAGAATCAATGCGAGATGAAATTTTTTTTTTATTCTCAGGTGTACATATTGAGTATGAGTCTTCTTCTCAATTAGTCTGTACAAATAAATAAAATACAAATAGCAGAAAACCAAGCAAACTTGCTAAGAAATGCTGAGTGTGCCAATGGACATATCATCTTATGTGATATCTTTTCTTTCTCGGTGTGTTCTTTTACAGTCAATGATGCGTAGTGTTCACACTCGCGTTACTGTTACGTTTATCTATGCATGATTAAATGTTCTTCTCTCACTGCCGTAATGAACTTCTCGTTCTATATCATCATTCACTTGTATATTATATGTATTGTTCTCACCTATCTATTCATACGCTATGTTCTTACTGTATTGTTTTTCTATATGTGTTCTCTCCTTGGCCTCATCTTCTTCCTTTTCATCCTCTCTTATTCTACTGCCTTTCTTTCGAGTCCACACACCAATAACAATTGCCAATGTAAAACTAGCTACTTTGAAACCACAATGAGTTGAAAATTATGAAAACTACTTAAAATCAATTTTGAAACAATGTAAAAAAAACAAATATAATTTGAACACTATATCTTTCTTTCTTGATGGAAAAAATTCTACAACTCTTTTAATGAAAAAGAAAACAACATGAAAATAGATTATATATAATGCAGAACATGTCGCAACCTTGTAGACATAGTTCTATGGCGATAGATTGTGAAATGTCATGAAAAAATCAAGAAAGTAATATGACTGCAAGGCCTAACATATATATGTAGTAGTATTGCAAGATACTACAAGAAAAGTAAAGGAACATCATATAAAACATAAAAATCATTTTTCAAAATACAAAGAAATTCATATTCACTATTATTATTCTAATTCATTTTTAATGTCAACCATGCTGATATTTTATCTATTGTTTCATCGGCATAAAGAAATAGTAAACTGTTTTCATTCTTTTTTCAATGTCGCTTTACATTTGTTTTATATTATCGTATTCTAGAGCTTGTGTATCGGTCAATTTTGTAGTACAGAACGATTCAATCGTACTCAAGGTCACATAAACATTCTTTGTTAACTCTTAAAAGCCGAACGTTTCTTCCTCGTACGTGACTGTCAGACAGTAAAAAACTTTGTGTGCTCATAATTATCCTTTTTTTTGAGTGATATCGCTTAGCATAACGGCAAGCTATCTGATGAAACTGTTTGATAATTTTTTACATGGCCTATTGGCTCATTTCGACATCATTACGAAAATCTCCCTTGGAAGGGACATTCGATCATAA